AGGAGTATGTAACTTGTGGTTTCATCTATAGCTCAGTGCCTCTAACCCCGTCTGCCTCCTGCCTCCAGTGGCGCTGTACGCCATCAGCGCCGTGTACTTCGCTGGTGTCATGGTGCGCCTGATGCTCACTCTGACCCCGGTGGTGTGCATGCTGTCGGCCGTGGCCTTCTCCAGCGTTTTCGAGCATTACCTGGGCGATGACATGAAGAGACAGAGTCCGCCCGCCGAGGACAGCAGCGACGAAGACGACAGGAAGAACGCAGGAAACCTCTATGATAAGGTAGTGAGTCACCAGGGGACTGAGGTGTGTTGCCTTATCCACGATTGGCCAGCCAGCTGTTGTTCTGAACTGAATGCAAAGTTAAAAAATAAATGTTGAACCCAGAACTGCTCGAGAAGCAGTTTCAGCTTCACCTGGTTAAATAATGCAAAAAATAAATAAATCTAACATCTTCTGTTAAGCGCATTTTGCTATTTGTAATATTGTGTGAAAAAAGGTGTAAAGTGGTTAAATGAAAAATCTACAGAATGTAAAAAAATGTTTTGTCTCAATTGTCTATGGCTTAAATGACAGTTAGCTGCAGCTCTAAAAAGTATCTAAAAAGCCTTTTTAGAATTTTTATGACGTCTGACCAACATGACAGTTGAAGTGATTGATAACCAGCTGCTTTCTGCTGCATGTGTGTAATAATCCTACTGGACCTCCACTAACCCGTCCTGATTGCGCCCACTGCAGGCCGGCAAGGTGAGGAAACACGTGTCTGAGCAGGAGAAGCCGGAGGAGGGCCTGGGCCCCAACATCAAGTCTATCGTCACCATGCTGATGCTCATGCTGCTCATGATGTTTGCCGTGCATTGCACCTGGGTCACCAGCAATGCATACTCCAGCCCCAGCGTGGTGCTGGCATCCTACAACCACGACGGGTGGGCCGAGTCACAAACCGGGATCTTTGGCGGGGGGTTCAGGGCAAGCACCTGGATGACATGTTTCCGTCTGTCCCGGTCAGATCACGGAACATTCTGGACGACTTCCGGGAGGCGTACTACTGGCTGAGGCAGAACACGGACGAACACGCCAGAGTGATGTCATGGTGGGACTACGGCTACCAGATAGCAGGCATGGCCAACCGGACCACTCTGGTGGACAACAACACCTGGAACAACAGCCACATCGCTCTGGTGAGAGCTGCCTCCACATGATGATAAATAACCCTGCAGATCCCCCACATGGTGATTCCTCTAATAGAAGTATAATTAAACGGGCAGCATCTTGTGGTTTTCAGCCACATGGTGACATTTTATAAAACAATTCAATAGCTGTTTGCTTCAGTTGTTATATATCACATTATTTCAAATAAATCTGACTTTGTAATTTAATGCCTTGAAATTGGGTCTCTGTCTTTTTAAGAAACTACCCCACAACATGGGGGACGTCCCCCATGTTGTGAGGGGACGTCCTCACAACATGGCTCCTGTATTAACCCTTTAATGTTTTTATCAGTTTCACTGAGAAGTAGCTCCTATAATGAGCTCAGCTGATGCTCAGTTCCACCAGGTGTTTGCTAACTGCTATGCTGGTCTGAAGGAGAGTCATAGAAACATTTCAAGCCTTTATTTCTTGTAACTTTGATCATTAAGGTTTACAGAGAATGAAAACCCAAAGTTTATTGACTCATATATTTAGAATATACTTCATAGAATAACTAGGAAACTGATGGTTTTCACACATTAAACTTCGAACACAAGCTGAGGTTTCCTGAACCTCTAAACTTCTCTGAGTCAGTAGGACAAACTGACTGAATAAATGTCCACAAGGAGCTGATTGTTCAGAATGTTGAATTTAAGCATATTAACAGAAAATTAAGTGGAAGGAAAAAATGTGAGTGGATAATCACATGAGAGGCTTGTCAAACAAACTCCATGTAAAAATTTTTGGGAAGCTTTGCAAGGAGTGAGCATCGTATTATTAGTTCAAGGAACACAGACTGCTACAGGAGGTCCCTCTTATGCCCTGCTGGAACCTTCTGGAATGATTCTCTGATGAAACATAGATAACCAATTTCTACAATATCAAATTATCAGATTATTATTGGGTTGAATAAAATCTGCTTTAAGGTCATTTATCCATTGATGAACAACGGTTTGCTTTCAACATGGTGGACGCTCTTGAGAACAAAGTGTCGTCTTCATCATCCTCCACCAAGTGGAAGTCGTGTTGCTGAACAACGAGTGTGTGCTCAGTGTGGTTTGTCTGTTCTGACGTAGGTGGGCAAGGCGATGTCGTCCAACGAGTCGGCGGCCTATGACATCATGAGGTCTCTGGACGTGGACTATGTCCTGATCATCTTCGGCGGGGTGATCGGCTACTCAGGGGACGACATCAACAAGTTCCTGTGGATGGTTCGCATTGCTGAGGGGGAGCACCCGAAAGACATCAGAGTAAGTTGACCTCTGACCCCGCGGTTATCAAGACATTTTTTTTTTTTTTTCGTTTTTCTGATCCGACCCTGATCTGACCACAGGAGAGTGACTACTTCACCCCCCAGGGAGAGTTCCGGGTGGACAAGGCTGGCTCGCCCACTCTGCTCAACTGCCTCATGTACAAGATGTCCTACTACCGCTTCGGAGAGATGCAGGTACCGGCTGCTTTACCGCGGTTACCACAGCAACCAGTGTCATCAAATCAGAACACCACCTTTATGTTTTTCTGTTTCTGTTCACGTCTTGAATAAAAGCTGGACTTCCGGACCCCTCCGGGTTTCGACCGGACCCGGAACGCCGAGATCGGCAACAAGGACATAAAGCTGAAGCACCTGGAGGAGGCCTTCACCTCCGAGCACTGGCTGGTCCGGATATACAAGGTGAAGAGGCTGGAGAACCGGGACCGGCTGGAGGGCAAGCTGCGCAGCACCGACATCCTCAGGCAGAAGTACACCTCCAAAAAGGTGAGGGTCAGAGTTACTCTGACGACAACGTGCATCTCATACGCATCAGCGACAGATTCACCTTCCATCGGACAATCACTGCAAAACTCTAAATATTTTTACTGCAAATAACTTGGTACTCTTGAAATAAATCAAAACTTATAAGTAACTTTACAGTAAGAAGATTTTTTAAAGTAAATAATTCCTTAATATTGATCTTAAAAATATAATACTTCCACTGATAGATTATTTTACCTATTACAATATAGTTTTTCCATGTAATTAATAAATTGACTTAAAAGAAGTTCATATCTGTCCGAAAAGTTACTTGTAAGTTAGTTTTCTTATTTCAAGTGAACTTAAACATCTTCACTAGCAACTAGAATAAAAACACTTGGTAAGATTTGGTGTTTTTGCAGTGATAAACCTACAACTACAGTTAAAATGAATCTGTGGGGAATATTGACACTCTGCCCAATCAGGCAGGCTTAAAAAAATAGACACCACAAAATCAATTTTTTGTAAAAACTAGAAATCATTTCCTAGATCAAAATGATGTCATACTGAAATATAGCACATATGTGATTGCAACATGATTAAAAGTAAAAAAAAAAAAAAAGGTTTGAATACTCCTGATGTGTATTTATTGTTTTGTACTTCCTGTGTGCAGACGGCCAAGAGGAAGCGGGGCTTCATCAGGAACAAGCTGTCCCTGAAGAAGGGGAAGAAAATGACCAAGAAGTCTCTGTAGGGAGCTGACCACCAGCAGACCCCGACTGACAGCAGGACAGGAGACCTCCACCCAGAAACACACACACACACACACACACACACACACACACACACACACACACACACACACAGCAGGAGTAGAGAGGCAGCAGATTAAGACTAATCAACTTCTCCGCAAGGTTCCATCTGGAAACAGAGCGCAGCAGAAACAAAACCATGACCTTTGACCTTCCCTTATTGTAACCGCAGTGGGACACTAGAGCCAAACGTTAACCACTCTTCTTTCAGGAACTCATGACAGCTCTCCAGCTTTTCCTGTTTCCTTCAGTCAGACAAACTGGAAACCAGCCGCCATGTTTCCATCTGCTGGGTCAGCACCATTTATCACACCTCACCGGATTCTTTCACTTTTACTTTAAACGCGACTCTAAACCCACGTCCTGCCTATAGATTTCTGTTTGTTACCGCGCTTTTTAATTTCCCCCGTCACACAGTTCCTCGGTTTTCCTTTTCGCTCCTGGATGCTGCGGTGAAAACCCGTTTGAGTCTTGCTGGAGCCAACTTTACCTCTGCTGTGAGGCTTCTGCCACAACATCCAGCTGTTTGCGTCGGGTCGGGTCATATCAGAAACAGCTGAGTCTTTTCCTCAGCTGCTCTGTCGGGGGGGAGTATTTATTAGACGGACAGCGGACGGCGCAGAGACTAAAGCGACCGCGCCCGTCCCGTCCTCGTAATGCAAGGTTTTTATCTGGGGTCCATTTTCAGAGAGAAAACGTTCTTCCATCAATTGTAATGATCTGGATGCAGGTGTGGGAGTTGATCATACCTTTTGGAATAAAGAGGTTCAAATAAGGTTTCTTTAACACTTGTGTTTTTCTTGGACAGTATGAATTGATCCGGTGTTTCAAAGTGGGGGCCACAAGGGGGGTTGAGGTGGCCTGAAAGTTAGAGGGAAGATGAGGGGAAATGTAAAAACACAAATTTTTATCCTAAATTGGCCTGTTTTTCAATCATGTTTTTTTTTATATATATATAAATATGAGTTTAAATCATTTAAAATTACTCCTCAAGCAAGAAATGGAAACTGACAAGAAAAAAAAATGGAGAACACTACTGCTAAAAATCATCTGAAAATTTGATCAGATTGATATAAAAATGATAAATGGGTCATACCACAATATATTGTCAGATGATAAAATATCCCACCACAGAACTCATAGCCAACTAAAATCAGACAGTATGAAGCAGCATTTAAGGTTAATGATTGTAATAATTATTGGATAGTGAATTGATTAATGAGGTAAAAATCTTATTTAGTAAATTCATTGGTGCCTTTTAAGTGTACTGATTTATATATTTCATATTTTATTTGTAACTGAGGTTTGCTCCACCATGGCGTTCTGCTGCTGTAACACATAAAATGTCTGTACAGACAGATGGGACTCCTGACACGGTGAGCTCCAGGCAGCACTGTGCTGGGGTTCTAAACATGCCTTTACATCTCATCCATGTATCAGTTTTTCTTCTTTTTTTCAGTGGTGCTGATGGAGACGGTTAAGACCCAGTTAGAACCCGGAGCAGTGATGCTGGTATTTCTAGTAAAGTTAAAGAGTCATGGCAGTAAACGGACCAGCTGGCTGATCCATCTCTACAGTTCGATCAGGTCTGTAGATATCTGAGGACAGCCGAGGACAATTTGTTCTTGTCCACTCGTCTAAAGTAGAAAGTCATTACACAAAATGAACAATGGAGAGATTTAAAAAGGCTGAAAAAAACCCTCAGGAGTCTGAGAAGGTCTGGCTTTTTAAAAGCAGCAGAAAGAGTCGAGGATTTGCTGGAGACGTCAGAGCGGAACCGGATACAGATGAACACGGTTGTGGGTTTTGTCAAACGATCGACGATCCAGACGGACATGAAAATTATTCTCAGATTTATGAGTAGAAAACATGAGAATGGAGACACCCTTGCAGGCCAAACATGACAACATTTAACTCCTTTACATCGCTTCTGGTTTCCATCCATCACTCCAGTCTTCCATTTAGTCGTTCTCTTCCTCTTCGTCGTCTCCGAATGACAGCAGACTGTTATTTTTAACTTTCTTCCCAGATTTTCTATCCTTGTCCTCCTCCTGCTCTCCTGCTCCGTCCTCCTTCTTCTTCTTGCTGGAGCTGGCAGTGATTCCCTGGAACTTGTCAGAGGATGAGCGCTTGGCTGGTTTCTTGAAGAGAATTTTGCCGTCAGAAGGAGCTTTCTCACCTGTGAACGGCACAGAGAGGAACCGGCGAAGGGTTTTAACGCTGCCGACACTGCCACCTCCTGTTCTGCAACTAGACGAGCGACCTGACCTTTCTCGCCCTCGCCTCCGGCTCGCATTCCGTCCTTGAGCTTCTTCGCCTCATCTGCACTCAGGTCTCCGCTTTTTAGGACCACGACTTGAGGCAGTTCGTCTTCTCGGTCGCTTCCGCTGTCATCGTCCGGCGTTGGCATCGCCTGACGCTGAGAGAGCAGAGACAGAAAAAGGTTTAATACGGTCAAGTCTAACACATGTTAAGTTTCACCAGAGGGTTGATTGTATAGAATGTTCACCAGGGTTATAAAACTATGTAACTCAAGTTTAGTTTAACTTTTGTTGTGACTTTTTGTCTAATTCCGTTAACGTTTGGAGTGTGCTAGCTCGCGCTTATTATATTAGTTAAATTTTGTTTCATTTTTATGAGTTACCGTAATAGTTTTTATAAACTGGTTAATTTCTTAGGTGTAGTATTCAAAAGGTCAAAGTATTGTATTGTGATTATGTATATATATTATGTATCCATTGGGTACTGAATTCTCAACAGGCGATGGCACTTTCAGAAAATGTATTTCATTATTATTGAACATCACTCTGAAAGTTTTCTGCCAACTTCTGTCTCTTACTGTGAAATATCGTCTGAGCTGCCCAGATATTGAGTTGCTGCCATGTCATAAAATCGATGTACAGTGACAGTGAGTCTTCAGTCAGAGGCCTCTTTAGCTTTTTTTTTTTTTTTTTTTGAAAGACTGACTGCTACTGGAGCTCCTTCCTGCCCACAGCGTCACCATTTACGACTCTTTGAAGATACTTGGATGATATGAGTTTATGACATTTCATTTCTTTTGGAGATAAATTAAATCATTTTTAATTGAACTAAGTTATTACCAAGGAAATATCTTCATCCCGAAATATACTTTGGATTTAAGGAAGGATAAAAGTGTCTAAAATGGCGCTGCCGGCCTCCTGCAGTGACCTGACATTATTATATAAATTATATAAATTTTCAGATTAAGGACAGACTGTGTGAATGTTGTTTCTTTTCTTCAGATGCCAAATACTCAAATAACATTTCATTTTATAATTCATTCAGATCCCAATTATTTTTTTCCTCTACTTAATGTGGAAAAAATGCTGTTAATGACAAATTAATTTCAATGTATGTTCTATAAAGCAGTAATGAGAGGCTGATTCAAAATGTTTCGTCTAAACTTGATAACTAGTTAAGTCATTTTTGGCGTGGAGGAACAAATATGATTCCGTGACTGAATGAGAGATGAAACAGGTTCCCACCTGAAGCCGCCTGCGTCCCGTTTCTGCAGAACCTTACCTTGGTGTCAACATTTGGTCCTTCTTTGTATCCCACGTCCGTTTTAAACTTCTTCAGGAAGGTCGGTTCCGCCGGTTTGACCCACGACACGCCGCTTGCTTTCCCTTTATTCATCGCTAAATGATCCACAGCAGAAGCTCAGCTAACGGGCTAACCAAACAGTCGAAGCTAATGCACCAAAACATGAACGTGACTCCAAGAGCTGCTGTGATTGGCGCACAACATCGCCGCAACGTGAAAGACCCGGAATGCGGAAAACTAGTGACTCTTTCAAAATAAAATCATTCATTATTATAAAATAATATTGTGATGCGTTTATTTTGGTCAATATTCTTGATTAAGAATAGTACGTGAAATTCTACATATTGATCAATCATTATTCATTGCTGAATGTGTTCGTTTCGTGTACATATCTATGCACTTATTTATATATTGAAGATTTAAAAATTTTATAAATTTTATAAGCCATCTACTCTTTTATTTTCAGATATGTGTGTGGAGGCCAACGCTTTTTGCAGACTAACAAAATCTAAACAAAGCACATTCTATTGTTTCAAGTTCATTGTCACATTCAGCTTAAAATCTGATTCATAAAGTTATTTGAAAGATACAATCTCAATATAACGAAATGTATTTTATTATATCGGCAGGAAATGATACCCAGAAATGTTGACATTAATTTGTTGGATCTTTCTTCTTGTAAATTATAATGCCACTTACCATACTTGGATGAATTGTTGTTTGTTAAATGCATTTAAAAAAAAAAAAAAAAAAAATTCTGTGTAGTAAATCTAATCCATTAATGCTGGTGAACTGTAACCTAACTATTGGCTTCCCAGGTTTGACAGTTTATGCACTATCTTTTTGTCCTTGGTCAAATTGTTGATGTCTCCTTAAAACAGTAAGGACTCCATAAGTTACAAAGAGTGTGTGGTTTCTGTTTCATGTCATGTGTTTCTGGGTATCGCGAGGAGCTCTATCGAAAAAATTTTTGCGTGACATTTTTCCCAGTCACGTAGTAAAAGTGACATTTTGTGGCACTTCTGGCTTTCTATAGTCTCAAAATGACAAGCATTCGGCGTGCTTTTATTGTGAAACTGTCCAGCGCGAGCTGTCGGATTCATCTGTCCGCTTATTTCAAAGATGGACTCCAGCTCTGTTTACGCGCTGTCAGCGGGCTTTCTGGCCGCTGCTGGGTCTCTGTCTGCGAAGCTGACCCTCGGCGCGGACTACTTGAGGGAGATGTGTGAGTCCGGCCTGAGCGGCTGGACGCAGGGTCCCGGCGGAGACACACGGTGTGACTGGGTAACAGCTGTTTTAAAGCTTCCGGGTTCCTGAGTTGAATAAAACTGGTTGTTCCAGCGTGACGGGGTTGAAGCCGCGGCTCTCATCTTTATCTGCAGTTTCATCCAAGTAAAATTAGAATGTCATTTCAGTTATTAGGTACAAAAAAAAAAAACGTTATAATAATATCTCAACGTTTTTACAATGGCTTATGAAAACGCAAACTTCCAGTTTACTGAAATATACAGTAACTTATGACATACAAAGAGAAATGTTGCTGAAGAACATGTTCAGAGAGCAGAATCCAAACATGAACACAGAAAATAACTGGATGGGGAAAAAAGGAAAACTGCTGCGTTCAGGTGAAACAGGATTTATGGAATATCAGAGACACCAGACCATATAACCGCACTTTTATTTCTGTATTAAAAAATATTTTTTAAATAGGCCATTTTTTAAATGTTGATTCTAGTTTTTCTTTTGTTGGTGTTATGTTGTTAAGAGTTCCTCTTCATTTCAGAGTTTGTTTCAGACAGCTCAACTACACTAAAATCACCCACTTCTCAATTTTTATACACAGTGCAAAGGTTTCAAAAATAATAAACTGTATCTAAAAAAACTGTCTTTAGCTAACAATCACTTTTCTCAGCTCCATGTCCCCCTTCGGCTGTTGTGTGGAGTCCTGCTGCTCAGTTGTAACACTTTAATGTGGACGATGTTCTCCAAGGCTCTCCGTCACGGCTCTTCTTCAGCAGGGGTCACTGTTACCACCACCGCCTCCAACTTCATCTCTTCTGTAAGCGTTAGCCAGAAGCTCATAGGCTCAAAGTTTCTGTTTGGAAAGTCTTCACATTCTTGTTGCATCCCTGTTGGTGTGTCCAGGCTGTCATTGGGAGGCTCATCTTTGGTGAGAGTCACAGCACCCTCTGGTGGACGGGCATCTCTCTCACTCTCTGTGGACTGCTGGTGCTGCACAGTGCGACTCCTCAAACGTCCCCACAAGAGGTTGAGAAAAAGGACAAGTGATGGATCAGGGAGGGGAGACGTTCGTCAAACTTCTCACTTTACTTTAAATTGCGCATATTGTTGGACAAACCGAGGCAAGCCAGGAAGCATTCAACATCTAGAATTGGTTTCAGTGGTTTTCAGAAGACTTGTTTTCCAAGAGACGGGCTGGTTCCAGTGTCTTATCCCATGTTTGGACTGAGCTGTAAGGTAGGAATGGTAAGGAATGTCTCTGGTCTCTAGCATGAGACATGTTTCATGCACTAGTATGAGACACGGAATGATGTCTGTCTCCCAATCAATGGACTGGCTTGTATGATGCTTGTTAGCTGTGGGTCTATAGAGCCTTCAGTTTCCATTGTCTGTTACAGTGGAAACAGACAAAATGCCTACAGGACCGCTCCGACCCGTTTCTCTACAGCTCAGTGGAAACAAGGATTTTAGAGCTTTAAAGCCCTTTAAATCCTGATCAGTAAAATTAGATTATATTTTCTGTTGACTTGGACTTGTAAGGTTGTGGCTGATGTCTCTAATCAGTGAATACTTGTAAATATTAAATAGTTTTGAATAAAATAAATTTATACTTGACTTTTTTTCTTAACAGTTTAACTTTAATCCAGGCTGCAGGAAGAAAACTGAAAAAATACAATTCACAAAAAAGTTCAAGTAGTAGTTTATTTTGTTCAGGTATGAGAAAGCTCTACGAAAATGCTCATTGCTCGCTTTGTTCATGTTTTCACTCCACCTTGTGGTGGATTTATGCATAGCACTGTGGAAGACACGCCAAAATCAACAAACGTCCCTCATTGTTGATCAGACAGAAGTTTTTTTTTTTTTTATTAAAGTTCAAACTTGTTTCATATACTTTTCATTTTCTCCAAAATGTAAGTTTGTCTGAAGAAGCAGCTGAGGTTTTTTTTGTAATTAATAATTAATTTTATTAAAGTCATATAAAACAGTTTCAGAAGAACAGAAAATATAAATATTTGAATATATTCATTAAAAAATTAAATCACACAACAAAATATAGGACTGTAAACATTATGCATAGTCCCATAATCCAGCACCCATTCACTAGTTAATTAACATAAATTCATCTAACCAATCAGTTCCAGGTATGTTACTAAGATTTCATAAACAGAAGACATGACACACTCCACCAAACAGAGATAAAGTGAATCCACTCAGATTAGTCATAATTAAGGATAAGGCACATGATGAGAAACTGTTTTCAGGACTGTGGCTTCTGTCTTATTTCAGAAAGAACTTACAGGAATCTACTGTAACTCCACTAAGACTGATGCTTGAGGAAAACATTTGGTTTGTAGTAATTTGGGTTCATTTCTTTGGTCTGAGCAAGCTAAGAATTCAGTTTCCAGATGAATCGAGCAGATTTGTTCTGGTGAAGCGCCGCCAACAGGCCGCCATGCTGTCCGTTTAATTGCACTCTGTTAAAAATCATTTCTGTTCGCTCTGAAACAATAACGGGACATCTCAGATGTTTCGCTTGCTCAGTTTCCCCTGTTCCACCAGCAAATTATTTCAATTATAAGATATTTTTCCCATGTTAAAGTAAAAAAAAAAACCCAAAAAACTGCCAGTGGATCCAGTACTTCTTCAGTAATATATGAGCCTGTTTAAGTAAATAATTCCTTAATATTAATGAAAAGTTACTAGTATTCTGTGTTTTTGTAGTGCAGCAGAAGTTCTGGTTATCATGACTGATGCAACCAGCAGAAAATTATTAATAATTTTGAAACCTCAGATTGCAGAGTAGGAAACTGACTCTGCTCGAAAACAAACCCTTGTCCCCCCAAGTAGAAAAATATTTCTGGTTTAGTAGTATAGTCTCTTAACACCTTTACAGGAAAAACATGTTCAATCAAAAACACATAGAATGAGTTCATATTCTAGACACATTTCAATTAAAAAAAAGAAAAGAAAAAAAGCAGTCCCTTGTCTAAGCCTTGGTCGTCATGAAGTAGGTGTGAGTGGTATCTCTATGACGTCCTGCTCAATGATGTCCCCCTGTGGGACGGGGACGTGGTCCACAGGCCGGTTCTGACAGCTGAGGCCTGTGAAGGGGCTGAACCAGGACGGGGAGGGCCGGCCCCCGAACGCCGTCCGCATGGCCTCCCAGCAGGGCACTTTGCCCCACCTCCCCGTCTCCCCCTTCAGACGCTCGATTCCCTGAGGACGACACCACAGTGAGCATGTGCACGGACCGTCTCACACGCCTACACACACAGCTACACACACCTTAATGCTACACCACAGACGACGGTGCAAACACAGCTGGAGCATTCGAGGTCTTTTAAAAAAACCCAACAAAAACAATAAAATGTACTGGTTTCTGCAAATCATTTCTCCTGTTTGTACTGGCCAGAAAATCTGACAAGTGCTATATCTGTCATGTAGTGGACCGCCTGGCAATATTTCAACATTGACATTACAACCAGATCAGGATGATGCCAGATAAAGTCATGGGACAGTTTTTTTTTTAATGTCTCCTGAAAACTTTTCACCTTCCTGGACCAATAGAATGGAACGCTTGTGTTTTTTGCACTATAATAATTCTAAAAGCAGTTTTTAGAGATGCTGTATGTAACTTTTTATTTTTTTCCACATACTTGTTAAAACTGTCACCATGTCCTGACAGAATAACATGAGAATCTGTGACAAAAATAAAGCTCCTTCTTATGGTCCAACAGCCACCTGCAGAAATGCACTGCTCAGTCAAAACCACCCAGAGCCACATGGCGGCAGGACGACAAGGAGAAAGTAGAGGTGGATTTTTTCACAGATTGTCTCATGCTATGATGTCATGACAAGGTAATAGTTTTAAGAAATATGTAAAAAAAATAAATAAATAAAATGTTTGTAGAAGTTACATACTGTAGCTTTAATGGGAAGAGGACATTTGGTGACCACTGTCTCATAATGTTCCTACTCAATGGAAATGTATGAAATATGCTTTTGGCATTTTCCAAGTCCAGATCTACAAAATATGTGACAAACCATTAGAATACACACAAGAATCATCCCAGTTGAGGATAAGCTCATTCCAGTCACATAATGAATGACCCAGCAGTGGAGATGAGCGTTGTTAGTTTTGATCAAAATAACACGGGATGAATTTCTTTCCCACCCTAATTCTTTTCCCCCACATTTATAAAAACTTGTAAAAATGTAATTCCAAGCACTTCCAGACTGCGTAGGAACCGTTGTGTAAACTGATGTTTTAACTTGATGGCCAGTAGAAACAGCAGCGCCTCTGCCAACAGTGGACTACAACACATTCTGTATGAGAAACGAAACAGCAAAATAAAAAAAAATAAAAAAATAAGAGTTTGCAAATGAGAGAAAAAAAAAAACTCCACAAATAATAAGAATAAAAGTGAGACATGCAATACTTTCCTCACTAAGCTCACTCATTCATTCCCATTTGTTTGGTTGAACTTAAAACAAAGAGGAACCGAGACACATTGGGCCTGCCATGACTGAAACCTGCATGCTAGAGGCGCGCTAAGCTCGACGGGACGACTGCAGCGACGAGCTCCTCCTCAGCTTACCTCTGTCACGGTTCTAAAGTCTGCCTCAGAAAGCTTTGGGCAGAGTGAGTTATCAACCAAAGCAGAATGCATGAGTGTGGAGTGGACACTGCATAGGAGAGAGGCAGATTAAAAGACAAAGAATGGAGAAAACAAAACAAAACAAAAAAAACAGGGATGGAAGGAAAACCAGGGGCCATGTGTGATGAGGAGGTGGAAGAACAGCGTTCAGGTCAGGGAAAGCTTAGTTCATCAGTAACACACACTCACCCCACAAAAAAGCCAAACACATTCTGCTTTGCAACGGAGAAGGATTTATTCTCTGCATCAAGTGCTAAAATATGTGTGCGAGTTTTAAAAACCATTTAAAAAATTTGTAAAAAAAAAAAAGAAAAACAACAAACAAAAAAAATAATCTTGCCATCCAAATCATTTCACCAGCTGTTTTCACAGACATGACCAAACTAACTGCCATGCATAAACACTTCAGAGGAACCAAACCTGTGAAACACGAGCTGCGTTTCCATAAAATTGCGCAAATTGACATGAAAATAAATTTACTGAATGAAAATCATTTAAAACAGTTTTTCACTAAACGGTTTTAGCGCAAGGATGAGGTGGTTTTTCAGCCTTATTAAAATAGATGTCTTTTACAAAACTCTGATGGCAACACGTGTCATGTGATCAGCAGCCAGATGCTACTGGCGAAAACGACAAAGAAGACAACAGGAAGTGGTAGGAGGATGATGGTTTCTTTTGATTTTTTTAAGACAATATGCAGCTGGCTCCACCAGAGCTCTCACAGCATCTCACCGTCCATAAGAAGTTGTCATTCCAACATTTTGAATCTGTAAATCTTCTGTAAAATTTTCCCAAAATGCCACACAGCTAGCCGTTCCCAGGCATTAGCTGCTCGTCGCTCCAACACGACGTCTCCTCTGATGGCTTATGGAGGAGTTCTGACGCCATCAAGGCTGAATTATGAATGTGTCTCATGTAACTGTTTACATCCGTCGCTGCCATGATTTTTAATGACTTGTCATTTTTATCCCCATCTGATTTTAATTTCATTTTTTATTTAATGGAAAGCTGCATTTGCGATTCTTTTCCCCCTTGACATTAGAAGAATATGAACAATTTTGCGCACATTTGCAATGGAAACGCAGCTTCAGAGAGAATATGGAAACAATACAAAGTACAGCTTTTGTCATTTTTAAGCATGTGTAAGTACGAATGGTGAACCTTTCCTAAATGCTTTAATGCAGTCCAGAACGGTGCAGGAAGTCGTGCCAGGTGATCCGGCTCAACTCCGATCCACGGATTCTGCTCTTCTTCCAGCAGCGGAGGCTTTCAAAAACGAGCCAGCGCTCCTTCAGAGGGTTTTCACATCAAAGTCCACCGAATCAGCAGAACGTTGTGGGGCTTTGTGCTGATTTTGGCACGTTTTTACAGCAACCGCGTCGCAAACGCTCATGAACAAACAGGGAATGAAGGTGAGAAGATAATCCCTTCTTCAATAGAAGAATCTACTCTGTTTTCACACAGCCAGTGTTTCAACAAACATCTCACTGCTGAAGCACAAGTCAGGTTTTCCAGCAGTGGTAACTGAAACATATGAGCAAATCCAGTTGGGTTTGGGAGACACACACTCTTTGGCTGAGGATAAAATGCACATTTACAGACAGACACAGGTTGTGTGTGTGTTAAGGGAAGAATATTCCACACTGGTGCAGCATGGAAATATTACAGTTATGTCAAATACACAATAAGACACTTGTGAGCCAGTTCTCCATATCAAAGCTCACGAGGAAAGAAATGCTGGCATCAAGAAAAATCAAACAAGTTTTCTGTACCTGAAATTTCAGAGTGAAATAATCCAGAAGAGGCATTGGGCCTGAACGGGTCACAACCATGAGCAAAGATGTTTCATTGTATTGTGGCAGAGCACGGTACAATGAGGAGGCCACCCTAATTATAGAATATAGTTATTTAAACTTTAAATATCGAGAGGATATTATTTTATTTTTTAAAAAGAAAGTGTTTTTGGGTTTACTGCTTGTTGATTTCATTTGGAATTAAATAAACAAAGTAATCAGATCTAGCTCCTGGGTTGTCATGGTTGCGCCACAACAATATTTCCATAATAATTTAAAGCAAAAACAAAAATAAAAGTCAAACTATATCCAAGTAATAAGACATTTGCATATCCTTCAATGCAACATTACATTATTTCAGCCAGCTGTGGTGCAGCAAGCAGCCAGAGGTGGGAGAAGGCCGTGTGTGTGTGTGTGTGTGTGTGTGTGTGTGTGGGCGTGCGTGTGTGTGCGTGTGCATGTGTGTGTGTGTGTGTGGGTGTGTACGTGTGCATGTGTGTGGTGTGCGTGTGCATGTGTGTGTGTGTGGGGGGGGGGGGGGGGGGGGGGGCATGTGTGTGTGTGTGTGTGGGCGTGTGTGTGTGCGTGTGTGTGTGTTTCAACACAGCAGTCACTCCAGCATGTTGGCCTCCGTCTCATTACAAAGACTTTATACTACAGGAACCAGACCGGCCCAGGCCTGTTCCACCTAGAGATAATATTTGAAAACAGTCCCTTTCAAATATTTTAGAACTGTAAGACATTGAGTATGAACTTGAGTTTGTATCACAATTTTATAAAATTTAAAGAGCTTCAGTTAGGGCTGGGCATTTATCACAGTTTTTATATTTCGAGAAACTTTTCTTCTAAGAATTCTGATTTATGGTAACAATTACAACAATGACTCTTGAAAACTAAAAAAGAAAGAAAAAGTGTTAGCATTTTTCCACTGCTTGTTCTATGAGACCATCAATAAATATTAAAATATGGTCCAACGCAGTTACAGTATGCAGCGACTGATAGAAATCACGCTGCTTTAACAGACTTGCCTTTTTCTAAAGCAGTATTTGTGTTAGTGGGGCTGTGATTGCTGTCATGCAGCCATTCAGCTTCCTAAAACAAACTGCAAAGTAATGACAGTTTAGTACTTGTATCATTATAACAATAGGACCACGAAATATTGTGATATGATTTGAAGTCTAACACCTACCTCTAGTTCAAACCATAGACAGTAAAAATAAAGGCGGCATAAAAACATAAATGATACATCTAGTTATTATTAACAGAGTGTCCGAACAGGAAGTCACCTTCAGGTCTGAGTTCTCATGCAGGTCTGCTAAAGACACTCCTCTAGAAAAAGCTTTAGCACTTGAGCTGCAACAAGTGGCAACATCTGAATCTTTCTCCCACTGCGTTTCCTTTTCCTGATACATTTTTAACAGTTGACATAATTTATTGGCTATTTTTTTAAGTGCATCGGCACTGGACTTAGCTTCAGTATGTTTTTACCATTACAAAAAACAAAATGTTGTGATGCCGAGACACCTGAGAACTTTGTGAAGAGACTGAAGGCAAAACGAAGCGAAGCCAAGATGGAGGCGGGTCAGAGAAGGAAAGGTCAGGATAGTCGGGAGCAGGAAGAACTAAACAGTTTTTATTTCTTTGATTCTTAGAATCTGTCCTTCATACAAAATAAAAATAAGAAAATGAATTGATAAAAATAGCTGAAATAGCAAAGAGGAGCTGCTTATGTGCAGCTTTTGGCAGCAATTAAAAGCTCATGGATCTGGTTTCACAAAGGAATCACTTCAATATGGAAACAGAATTTTGCCAGTCCAAAACAAAAAAGATCGTTCAGCTAAATTACAGAATATATTTACCATTAATTCCCTATTTTAACTCATCCTGGGAGTGAAATATATTTTAGATGATTAGAGGCTGTGCAGCAGCTTGTATACATAGAGATAAATCCTTAAAGTGCCTTACATCTTGAACTTGTTCACCTTTCATCACAGTTAAGTCATAATATAGGATTGCAGGTGAGAGACTGGAACAAAATAGTGCAACTAGGAGAGCACCGATTGTAGTTTTCTGAAAGATCATTTAAAAGTCTGTTCAGATTTTGACAAATACAAATTTTTGGGTCCTAGAAAGTCCAAAAATGCAGATATAGCATATATAAATATAGTGCCAAAAATGGTTAAGTATGCATTCAGATCGGCCCTGTTCAGTCGTCTTTAATCTCAGTTTGTCTGCAGTCTGGTTCGTTTGGGGAGATGTGACTGACCAATTAGAACAAAAAAAATGAATGCAAACTAAAAACAGGCAAACAATAAAACTCTGGTCCACCTACAAACCTAGAGTTGTTGAGCTGAAGTGAACTGACGCAAATGCATATGTGAACACCAAGCCCGTTCCAAAAGCAGGAAGCAGACTATAACGCAGGGCATTCTGGGTAAATATAACCATAATAAAGGAATGAGACTAATGCCAGCTGGAGTAATGGCTCATCAATTGCCCATTGGGGACATGAATAAATCTGAATCTGAATGGCTTCTGTGTTCTTTTACAAACGTCAAAACAAAAATCCTACAACTACAATCTGATTTTGGCTTTATGACAAAAGAAGCTCCTCTCAATATCTTCAGAGGTTTTTATGTCATTTCTCTCAATGGCTCTTGGTACAGCGCCTCTTCAGGCAAAGAGGGGAACAGGTCTTTCAAAGGGTTTGGTTCATTTGACACATTGTAGTATGAAAGAAAACTGCATCAGCAGAAAATAAAAAATGTTGCAATTTTGGTCCCCAGTCAAACTGAGCCTAACGGACAACAAACCAAGTTGGCAAAAGTGAGATGATTATTGTTAATCACTTGTGTGATTAAAACAGGACAGCGGCTGATTTTCACACCTTCGATCACCAAACATGAAGGAAATCAGCACCAATTTATCGCTGCATCTCTTGTCCTTAGTAGTGCAGAAAATGATTTATTCAACTCATGACCCAAAACCTTGTAGAACCACTTTTAACTGCAGTTCCAGCTCCAAACGTTTTGGAATACATTTCTTAACAGTTTTGCACATTGTTCAATGTTCACTGCAAAACTGGAAGAAATCAAGGGGCAGAAAATGTTTCGAAAGTCATCATGTATACTGGATATATCTCAGTCGGTGTGTCTGGACTGAACCAGTGGCTAAATACATTTTTCAGCAGATGAGGGAGGTGCATTCCTTCACATGTCCCTGATAAAAACATGCAGGTTAAATTCTTCTGGCTACTCTCATAACCTAATAATCGATTTCATTTTGATTTTTCACCGTTTTAGTCACCTACCCTACAAGAACAGCCATATACCTGCAGGATGAAGTGATGTCATTTTACATCGAATCCCTTTTTCTTTTGTAATTTGGCTGAACGTATCCTTGAACAAAACGCAGGAAGATTACGCACCAAGCAAGAACAGACAGTTTCTGATATGAGAAAAAAAACTGATTTATCACAGTGTTTGCAAAAAGACAGACAGTGTTTCTTTTTCTCTGCAACTCGACTTATAAAGGCAAACAAAAAAATAAATAAAAATAAATTAGACATTGCTCACTTAGTTGTCAGCACAAAGAGCACATGACAAGCTGTCCATGGCTTGTGTGGGACGAACACTGTAAGAGAGGCTGAGTTGGGCAAACAGGCTAGCTTTTCCAGGCCTTCTCATTCCCTGTCCTGAGCTCCCTCACACCACATACTGGTAGGTCTCAGCCTTGCCGTGGTCAGGGGTGGAGAAGGGGCTTAACCACAATAAAGAAAAATGGTGTCCAAAAACCGCCCTCATGTTCATCCACTTAGTTTTTTTAGCCCATCTTCGCTCTTCCTTTTTCAACTGCTCTATGCCCTGAAAACAAGAGACAACCAAATTTGAGTTTGCATGTTTTCCTCTGTTGAAATGATCTTCCAAAAAACGATTAGGAATTTGGAAATAATAGCACATATTTAACACGGCTGTAAATATCACACCACAAATATTTGCTGGACGATAAATTATCCCAGTAATTATTGTATTGTTGTTTTGAGACCATTTAATGGTAATATTAATAACTGTATAATGATACGAGGTCACCCTCTCAAAGATCAATAAACTTTCATTGTACAGAACACTTAATACTGGAACTGGAAGATATATATTGAATATCCAATATAAATAAACAACCAAAAACAATAAACAGAGATGAAAAAAAATAAAATAAAAAACATACACACTCAACCGAAACCATAAAAAATTGTTTTTTGTCGTCTCTAAAAAGAAAAAAAAAAGTTCTTTGACAAATATCGGAATAAATATGCCTGAGCCAATATAACTGTTTTATGAAATTAGCTCATTAATGCCACTGGCTTATTATCTGACTGTTTTAATTACTTCACAGTATAGTTAAGAATAACTGATTTTTCAATGAACACATTAAAACTTGATCGTTTTTATTAAGGTTATTGTAGACTGTAAAATTTCCAATCATCTAAGAGCATCCCTCCATCTGCCGTCGTGAAGTTAGAACATTTTAATTTATATCCTTGAATATACTCCAGCACATGGAAATATTGTCAAATAACTTTAAAACTGAAGAGAGGAAGAGAACGGCTAAAGCAACGCTAGGTTAAAGACTCTCCCAAAACAAGCACTTTTTTCCGTTAAGCTACAAGTTAAATAGAAACGAAACAAAAAAAGAACAAACAGAGACAGATGTGGGAAGAAAACATAAAAGCAACTTCACTGTTATGGCTTAAACCCTGACTGGTCAGGTGCAAAGTCACTGTCATCTTTTTGAATAGTCTCAGTACATCCAGCTCATGTACAGAGCACAAAGAGAGCTTTACATATTAGCAGTTGCTTTCTTCCACATGCAAGCTGCCAAAAACTACAACAGGAGCAGTGAGGATACTGCAGCTGCTTGTGTTGCGCTCTCCTCTGAGCTACGCTAGCTCATTGACAAGCTCACATTTTTATTTCGATTAGGAGTTGCAGACAAAAAGAAGTTAAAAGCACCAGGAGAAATTTGGAAAGGTCAGTTTGTCTCATTAGCTCTTCAGCTGAGATTGAGCTAAAAGATCCACACAACCACAATAAAAGATGAACACAAAGACATGTCTAACTCCAGTACCACAATGTGATCACCTAGACTAGAGTAACAGGAAAAAAAGGCCGATCAATGATCTGTGTCTGATGAGACAAAAAGATGGGGAGGAAAATGGAGGAGTGTGAGAACCACTTTAACAATTGATGGGTTCCAGTTTGTAGGCAGCTGGATTATAGCATCAGTAAACCTGTTATTAGTCTGGCAGGTTTATTAGTCATGTTGAGAATGTGTTTAATCATAGATTTATTCATACAGAATATCTAATGTATTCAAACAAAAATGCAGCTGGGAAGCTGAACAATCCTGGTGCAATATTACTTGATGCTATTGGCTGACGTTTGCAAAGCAGCCAATGCAGGAGAGCAAGACGAGTCGAGCTTTTGATAGGTTGTTGTTTTATTGAGATAATTAGCTCAATCGAATGGTATTATTTCTTGTCGTGTTGAATCAAACGACTTCTTTCAATCAAACTATATGATAATAGAAAGGTGAATTCTAATGTGTCTTGTTTATTTTCATCTACATCTAAAATGAATCCAGCCTCTTGACCAAGATAGCCTCAAACTACAGACAATCAACCTCAATAAACTGGTATTTTGTTGCCTTTTGGTGCCTAAAGAAACTTGAATTAGCCCAGTTTGAAAATCTCTAACAGGCTTGTAAAATTATTATTCTACAGTAAGTATGGTTTGATAAATCACCATGTGCGATACATAACAACTATCGTATCTACAAAAAAAACAAACAAAAAAAAACAGTGTTTTGGCATCTAAACCAGACCAGCATATGTTGATGTCTTTTTATTTGCTTCAATCAAGAGAAACGCATTAAAAGTGGCCACTGTAAAACTAACTGGAGACTTTGCTTGATTTGTGTTAATTAATAAAGAATAAACAGATATAGCAGATGGAGATACTGAAATTATTGGTTTAATACAAGTTCATGTTTTGATTATAACATGAGAAAATTTGTTGAGCTTCCCTGGTAAGGTCTATTCAGGGGTCCTGGAGAGGAGGGTCCATCTGATAGTCGGATTTAGGAAGAGCAGAGTGGTTTTCGTCCTGGTCGTGGAACGCTGGACCAGCTCTACACCCTCAACAGGGTCCTGGAGGGTGCGTGGGAGTTTGTCCAACCAGTCAACATGCGTTTTGTGGACTTGGAGAAGGCATTTGACAGTATCCCTCAGGTAAACCTCTGGGGGGTTCTCAAGTATGGGGTACTGGGCTCTTTATTCCTGGCTGTTATGTCTCTGTATGATTTGCATTGCTGGCAGTAAGTCGGGCTCGTTTCTGGTGAGAGTTGAACTCCACAAATGCTGCCCTTTGTCACTTATTCTGTTCATTACTTTCATGGACAGAATTTCTAGGCGTAGCCAAGGTGTTGAGGGGATCCTTTTTGGTGGCCTTAGGATCGCATCTCTGCGGATGATGTGGTCCTTTTGGCTTCATCGGGTCGTGATCTGTAGCTCTCGCTAGAGCGGTTCGCAGCAGAATGTGAAGCAGCCAGGATGAGAGGATCAGTGCCTCCAAATGTGAGAATCAGTGCCTCCAAATCTGAGGCTCTGGTCTTGAGCCGGAAAAGGGTAGAGTGCCTTCTATGGGTCGAGGGAATGTCCTGCCCCAAGTGGAGAGGTTTAAATGTCTCGGGATCTTGTTCACAAACGAGGAAAAAAATGGAGTGGGAGATCGACAGAAGGATTGGTGCGGCAAAAGCAGTGAAGCGGGTGCTGTACCAGTCTGTCGTGGTGAAGAAGGAGCAGAGTCAAAAAACAAAGGTTTCAATTTACCAGTCGATGCATGTTCCTACCATCATCTACCATCATGAGCTTTGGGTAATGACCAAAGGAATGAGGTCACGGATAGAAGCGGCCGAAATGAGTTTTCTCCATAGGGGGTCTGGGTTCACTTAGCGATAAAGTAAGAAGCTCAGTCATCTGGGAGGGTCTCAGAGTAGAGCTGCTGCTCCTTCACGTCAAGAGGAGCCAGTTGAAGTGGCTCGGGCATCTGGTTAGGATCCCTCCTGGACGCCTCCCTGGTGAGATGTTCCAGGCACAGCCCACAATTAGAAGACCAGGACACACTGGAGGGACGTTTTTTCTTGGCTAGCTTGGGAACACCCTGAGATTCCCTTGGAGGAACAAGTGGCAGAGGAGAGGAAAGTCTGGGCCTCACTCTGTAGGCTGCTATCCCCGCAACGCGATTCCGGATAAGCGGAAGAAGATGGATGGATGGAAAATGTGCTTCAGAAAGCTAAAATATGAAAATGTGCAAACATCATTTTGCCAAAATACTAGTCATACAAACTTGTAGGCCTGTCAGGCATTGTCCCAGATATAATTGTAAAAAACGATAATATTGTTGTTTTGAGACCATTCTCAAGTAATATAGTGATAACTGAATAATACAAGTTTGCCCTCTCAAAGATAAACTTTAATTTTCTAAAGAACACAACTGGAACTGGATAACATTTCAAATAAAGCAAACAAAAACAAAAAATAAAATGGAAATAAAAACCACACAATTTAAATAAATGAAATGGATTATGGGAGGGCTGTAAACAAAGCTTCCATTCAGAAAGTATTAATCAATCAGAATGGAAGTTCTTGAGCTCTTTTTAATTTGTTATGCTATTAATTTATTCATTATTGTGACCAGCTTACCAACTTGGCTCAAAAGGTATGAAGGAACAGCAGATTATTGTAGCAGCAAAGACATCTGTTTATTCTTTATTGTGATAAATACGGAACTAACCATCAACCTGCAGAGCAAACCGCACAGCATCAAGCTGTGCAACCCATGCGGCTTTATTTATATAAAGAACTAGATCAGTTCACTGAGCTGTTCTCTGAAAATAAAAGTGTCCATCTGGCAAAGTACTGCTGTAGTTTCAAAATGGGTGAACAAAAATTCACACGAAATCAAAATAAAAACAACTTATTCTTCCAACCTGGTAAAAGCATGTTTTTGGTGAATATCAGAACTTGAAGGTCAAAACTGAGGCAAGGTCCACAGAGGAAAGTTATGAAAGAAGAGCACAGGGAAGTCAGTCGCCACTGAGCGGGTAACTTACTGTCTCATCGGTACAGATGGAGTGGACCTGGGTGCCAAACATCACAGAGGTGAAGATGAGGAAGAGGAGGCCCTCAAAGCACAGGAGGATGAGGAGGATGACTGTTGCAGGAGGAGAGAAGGAGCTGCACTCTGGGTGATGGAGGGACATGGAAGTGAAAGGGCAAGTCAAGGATTACATGAAGAACTGAACGCTCGAGTCTCCTCACAGATAAAATGACTTCCTGTTGACTGCCGCAGTAAAACATTAACACTTCAATGAGGAGGTTTACAACATGAAGGTGGATCAGTTTGCTTTACACAAAGACAGATTTTTAATTTAGGACAGATTGGCCTGTTTTGATCACCTTGTCAGCATTCTTTATTACTTAAGAGTTAGATCAGACGTCAGCAACCTTCTAACAGAGTAAGATCATGGTACTGAGTAATATGAAAAGCTACTCACTTCTGAAAATTGATCAGTTTACTTTTTATTTTTTTTACCTTTGAGTTGCCATTTTTACTTTTTATTGTGCTTTCTTGCACAATAACAAAATAAATTTTGATTGTGTAACCAAATGTTTTATCCATCTTCAGACTCTTGTCACGTTTATTATGTCCCATAATAATCAACAGGGACCAAAGGTAGGAAATAGACAAATATCAGTTTGTAAGACTTTATGTCAACCGTCCTATTATTTCTGACAAATCATGTTGCATCATGTTTCAGACAAATCTTACCACATCTTGTAATCATGTAATAAAACCATTATTTTAATCACTACTTTGAAATAGTGTAGTGTATTTACATTATTACACTAGTGTATTTAAATTGTATTGTAAATCAATTTGAAGAATATTTTAAAAAAGAAATAAGTTTGGGTATTATCTATTGTATTTTAATTTTTTTGAATCACAACAACTAAGCCCTTTTTTAAACAAGGGTGTGCATATTTAAAATTTCTTGTAAACACACTAACACACATTAATCTAAGCCCAATAATTTTATTTTATTGCTTAAATGTGCAGAACTATTATGAAGAGATTTTTGCAGCATAGATGCAGGTTTGCTTTTGAATCTAGATCTTTGAGACAAGGTGCAACATGCAACAGAAGAAGAAAAACCCACTCACTTGTCCAATCATCTTCAAAGCAGTAGAGGAAATGGAAGACCACCATGACCAGAGAGTGCAGAGAGATGAGTGCAATGTACATCTAGGTCCAAAAGGAAACAGTGGTGAGACCATGTGAAGCATTTTACCACAAAAAAAAAAAAACAACAAAAAACTAAAAACCGCCAACTTCCTGACAACCACTGAGAAACTGTGTTGCATTAACATGGAAGTGTTACAGAAGGAAGCAGATAACAGACTTTCATGTCAAACATCCAAATTTTTCAGCTTTTCAATGTCATTTTTAAAATGCAAATAGATGGAATAATAAGAGATTTCCTGTGAACTTACTGTGAAAAGAACAAAGTACTTTTGGTTGTTTTCCCCAACACAGTTGTTGACCCAGGGACAGTGGTGGTCCATCTTCCGTATGCATCGTTTACACACACTGGGAATCAGAACGAGAGAAGGAATTCAGATCATAAAGCAGCGATTTATTAGGACCAGGGTTTAGTTCCCATGAAGTAATATTGTTCCTCAGATAGTAAAACACCAAACCAAATGGTTTTAAGAGATAAAATACATCAGTGTATGTAAACACACACACATTAACACATGAGCACAAAACTGAGGAAGCTGAAGACCTCAAAGAGTTCTTTGAGGTCTTCAGTGAATTGTTAGCTGAGGGACTATATATAAAGTAGGGTGGTTTGGAGTATTTTGCTTCCCACTCTCGAAGTGGTTAAGCCTTAAAACTGTAAACCAGCAGCAGCATGAAGCAAACAGTGCTGAGATTTCCACCAACAGCTTTTAATCAGACCGCAAGAGACTCAAATCCCATCCTACATTAAGTCTACAGCTACCTGCTTCTTTGTTTAACTACAGTTAGTATATAAACTGCCTGTCATTTGTCTTTCTACCAATATAAGAAGCTTTAGTCATTTGCGTATTTCTAGAAGGGAGCGTATTTATTTGTCACTAAACAAGCTTCAAGCATAACTCATTTAGATTATAAAATATCAATAAATTCAAATAGTTACTGAATTAGACTGAATGTCTTTTTAACTTTTTTTTTTTTTTTTACAAAAATTACATTTTGTTATCATAAAATAATCTTTTTATGTCCTTCACCTCTTCTCTGCCAGCTGCAAAAACAACCAGAGCCAGGAGGAGGGACTTTGCACTGTCAATTAACCTTGTGTATGTGCTGCTCAATGTGCTAATGACTGAAAAACAACAGCGTTGCGGTAAACTTGTTTATCCCTTGCCACCGGTGAGCCGGTTGAAGCTTCTGCCACATCAATTCATCTCATTAGAGGAAGCAGAACACCACAGATAATGTTTTAAAAAAATATACTATAAATAAAGAATTTCTATTTATTATTTACACTTTTTATTTATTGTGTAAACTAATGGTCATTCTCCTCTGTGTCTTTGGTTTCCTTCGGGCCACTAACAATAAAAGTTAAGCTCCGTCACTGGAGTTAATATATGTAATGTGTTTCACTTTCTGAAATTTTCCATTTATTTCAGGAACTCTACTATTAATATTCAAATGTATTTAATGTGACTCTATATAGACAAATGGAAGTTATTTTCAATTTCATTGAATGTTTAAGTTTGGTGCACTCTTAAATAAAAGACGCAAATCTTAATCCTAAAGGGTAGAACTCAATTCTTCACGAAGTACTAAAGATAATTGTAGTTATCCGATTAAAATTAGGAAAAGCTGAAGGTTTCTATGTAGATTAATCTAAATCATTTTCTCATGTGAAGCTGTACAGACAGCCTGAGTTGATAGCTGCAGCCGTTCCCTCACCTGCAGTGGTGCGCTCGGTCAGGCTTGATGCTGCAACACTTGGGACATTTGTAGACCACCTGCCCTGGTTTCAGCTGAAGGCTTTCTATGTATTCCTTAGTGGCGTTCCCTTTTGGCACTGCCCCCTGGCACAAAACAAATCATTTACAACCATCTTAGGGACCAGAAGGAAGAAAGAAAACATCTGAACAGTGACAGAAACAAATCCATCTCAGTATACGTACAGGGTCAGTGCACATGGCCCTGAGGTGTGAGGCGAGGGCTAGAAAGGCCAAAGTATTGAACAAGGTCCCGTTCACAATGCTGTAAGTGAGATTCTTGGAGGGCACCAGCATGACAAACAGCACCACAAACTCAGCGTAAAACACCAGCAGCCATGTTATGATGGCGCACACGATGCCGCAGGTGTCCCTGATGAACCACAAAGCTGAGGAAGAGGAGGAAGTGATGACGTCTTTGGAGACAGGGATGCGCTGTTCAGGTTGCAGGCAGTTGGACCCGCCCCCGCCCCCGGTCCCGGTCCCGGCCTGCCCGCGGCCGTGCTCCACGTCCCTGCATCTGTGCACCGGACTCTTCATCCTTCATTGAAGCTGGATGCTCGCAGGTCCTGCTGCCGCAGCCTCTCAATCTTCAGGCCTCTGTCATCACATGCTGGGAAAGGTCAGGAAGAAGCAAGGGGCAAAATATTACATAAAAGACGTAATGAGGAATAAAAATATGTACAGTTTGTGCTGACATTGTATCGGGTCAATATTAGTATAGGCCAACACTCAAAGTACGATATCAGTTTCGTATCAGAAGTGGATAAAGTTGTATTATGACACAGCTACCAATTTCAATAGTAAACTGAACTTGACTTCATATTTAAAAAGTTGATTAATAGACTACTAATAAAGTAGAGCTGTGTAATAAAGGTCGACATAGACCTAAAAGATGAAGAGCTAATGATAAGCGTTGCACCAGCCTCAACCAATCATGTGGCTGGAAAAGTGCCACACAGAAATTTGATCGGAGGATATTAAGAACTGCAATTTATTTTCTTTCCAATGAAAGACAATGTCCGTTTTATTGCTTTCTTATATTTTTTTATGTTTCCCAGGAGATGACATTTTTTAAATCTCCACCAGTAAACTGTGACAAAAGATTGACAAAAACAGTTGTTTGTTTTGTATCGAAACTGCCACGCTTTATAGCAAACTTTCAAGATGTCTCCTTTGGATTCACTGTACATCTATATGTACAAATTTGTTGTTTTAGTAATGAACTGAATATTGTTTCAGAACTTTTCTTGTTTGAAAAAACATGTCTGCCATCAATATAAATCAAGATTAAAAAGTCCCACTACTATATGACTTGGACAACACAATAATAGCAAAACATCAAGGATTTCACCAACAACAGAAATGATCCAGTATTTCTCGATTGTCAACTACCTACCCACAAAATCTATTTTTGCTTTTTTAGATAGAATCACTTACGCTGCAGCTCCTTCTCAGAGAACACGCATGGACGTTGCTTTCTAGTAAAGCTTTTATTTGTAATATTCATTATTTCTGATGCCTGTTCCTGTCCATAACTCATAGCACAAACATCGGGAAAAGCATAATCTGAAGCTGAAACAGGCAACGCGGATAAGGAAAACCAAGCGACACATATTGGATTTTCTAATACAAGCGGTAAACAAACGAGCAGGAGACGTTACTGGTAGCCAATATGATTTCTTTCCTCCTGTTTATTTCCTTTACAGGAAGTAAATTGGGTCATCGATTCCCTGCTTTCGACATGCGCCAATGTGTCTCCGGTGCTATGTACAAGCTAACACAGTCAACTTCAAATAAGAATGGAAATGTAATTAATGATCATGTCAACATTAGCACGTACAGTAAACGCTGACTTAAAGCAAGTTTTACATGGACTTTGTTACATTTCAAGAGTCCAAACTGAGCCGAAAGTCACCTCATTCCATCTAGCTAATGCTAGCCAGGCAGCTAAACAGGGACCATTTAAATGTCAATAATAATGTTTATTTCTGATACGGTCTCCTTTCTTTTACCTCTAACGCGACAGACATTCAGAGGTGGTATTGTTGTCTTTACGGAAGAGGAAGCCTTCATACATTTCACATTAGCTCACCTTGAAGATAAGCATCCTCCGCTCGCTTCCTCCCCTGCTCCTGCAGCTGTGGTTGCCCCCCCTCCCTCACCGTCTGCCTGCCTCAGCGCCATCAGCCACCCCTCTAAAACATCAGGACGTCATGACGTCAGAAGCGGAGCCAATGGGATAACAAGAAAGGCTTAAAGTACAAAAGGAAGTTCACTTCAAAATAATTCATAGAATATATAAATATCCAACAAACCAGTTTACAAAGGACTTGGGTGAATCGTGTACATTCATAAAATCGCTACAATTTCTCGTCTTTTCTATTTTTATTTTTATTTATCAATGTATGTATGTTAAATATTTTGAACTGAAATCGAACACTTAATTAAAATATATTGTGGCATTAAAATTAAGTTTTGATATAAGAATATTATTTCTTTGAACAAAAAGAAAACGTCTTGACCAACCAAAACTAATTTATTTACATTTTTTTTCATTCTACTTTCTATATTCTTAAAAGTAAGGGATCTAATATAAAACCCAGTGTCCCTCCCCACAATACAATTCAGTTTAATTTATTTTTAAAGCGTCAGTTCACAACAAATCTTCTCAGGCCGCTTTACCAAAAATCATTTAAATTATATTCATTCCAGTTGATTCGAGACCTCGAGGCTGAATTGATACTTTGAAACCTTAAAAGCTTTAACAAACCTGACAGCTACAAAGGCTCTAACTCAGCCCAAATCCTTTAAACATTTTCTATAAAATATTTGACATATACTATTCTTTTGTCTTAAGTTTGGCTGTTCTTATCTTTTAACTTTGTATTGTAATTTTCTTTTCCACATGTTGTGACCACCCCACCACCAGGGGGTGTCTTTGTGTCTGTTTTTCAGGTTGGAACCCGACATCAGAGGAATGAGATGCAATGTGCTTCTGCCTTCTTCTCTGCACAGTGGGTAGTTCGCCCTGGCCACCTCTGAAGTTTGGATTTTGCACCATGTACATTTCCACATATCCATGCATTCAAAATTTACTAAAAAGTTTTGATGTTCAGCTAAATAAATTATTTTAGTTCATCAGTTTGTTACAGCCCTTGAGTCAGGCTGTAAAATTGTCATTGTGCTATATTAATTCAAAGCAATTTTAAAATACTTTATTGATCTCAAAGGGAAAATAAATGTTGTTGTAGCTGATTTAGTTCATGAGTTGTTAGACGGTGAAGGCTACAATTATCTCATGTCTGTATTACTTCACTGACAACCTCTGAAGTGGAAGAGGTCTACGAGGAATGCTCCAGTAATGCTGTGTCGGGAGTACAAGTTATTCAGGCCAGAACTAACTTTGTTCTTGTTCTTACCACATTGATTAAACAAACACATTTGTCTGTTCTTGGTTCAGGTTTTACTGTGTGTTAATTACTGCAACATAAGAAACAACCAGTGGCTTGGACAGCCAACTGGGAGTCAGCAGACTAGCAAAAAGGCCAGTGAGTGGGGGGGCGAAACATGAGCCTCATTCACAAAGCTGTTCTGTCATGAACCCACTCAGAGCTGCTTTTGGACGGCCATAAATCTCAAATGAACAATATCCTGCACACATCTGCTCTTTCTCAGGCATTGCCGAGGCAAAGGTGTGAAGTGGAACTCAGTGGCTTTGGGTATTAAATATACACTAAATGCACCTTCCATTTTAAAGGGAAGCATGTGACACACCATACGTGCAGTTCTGCTTTCTTGCACAAAGACCACAAAATCATGGGGAAGATTGCTGACTGGATAGACGTGTAGAAGATAAAATGGTTATTACTTAATAATCAGAATCAGAATCACTTTTATTGTCATTGCTCGTAAAAAACAATTTCACAGGCTAGGAAATTGTTTTGATGTAATGATGCAAAACGAAATAAATAAATAAAGCGAGTTAACATTAGATTTAAGGTTTTCATCACCTGTAAGCCATGATCATCAATCCACTTTCCAAAGAGCACAGGGGTCTCTGAAAAGACAATAAATATTTTATTTATTTAGGGACATTTTATATATCCAGTTGCCCATAAAATGTCAGCACACAAAAGCCCTGCATGCATGAATCCATTCTAAATTTCCAACAACACTCAAGCTGTGCACATTCAGTGTTAAAATAGTAAAATAAAAGGCCTGTCTGTTCTGTGTGTTGCAGGCCAAAGATGCACTTTTTCTGTCTTATATTTTACGTGAACAAGCATCAGAATGTAATTTTCATAGGAAGGAGAAAACATTTTGTTAAGTTGAACATCTTCTTCTTCTTGTGCACCATAGGCAGCTTGTGTGAAGCCAATTTTCTCTGATGAAAATACACCGCCTTTGAGAATTAGGAACCAATAAAAACCTGCTTTTGAATTGAACGTGTCTCCAATAATTAGTTTCCTGTACAGAAAAGACGGACGCAGTCCTGCTTGAGCAGTTTCTCAATATGCATTCATGACTAGTTTCAGCCTGTCCATGTTTCTCTGTTTTTTACCCTATTTGATCTCATATAAAAAGAAACCTGCACTGCAGCCAAGCAATCATGAACACATATTTCCTCTTACTTTAATGTCCCCCTGTCCATTCCAAAAGCTTGCTCTGTTTGAAGGAAGGGGCACATATGGTCCATTTATAAAGAAGAGAAAAACGCTGGGAAGAGAAGTGAAGCACCTGCAGCTGAATCATGTCTTTTCACAGACATGATTTTTGATAGAGGGGATGTGGCTCACCGCCCGGGGTGAGGAAATGTCAGCTGCATTGGATTCTTAGTTGCCACTTTTTTGTCAAGTCACAGTGTTTTGCACAGAGTAAGCAATCTAAGAAAGTTGTTAATTTGATGACATCCTCTGTAGTTTTTATCTGCTTAGCAGCTTCCAAGTTGGATAATTGAATGTACTGCTGGTGGATTCTTTGTCTTTGTAATTTGAATTTTCCACAGTAAGATAACAAAAACAGCTCATGAAGTCAAAACTTTGACAGGATAAGTCAGAAGCTTTCTTAAAAATAAGATGTAGTGTCTCAACCAGAAATACCTGTACCAAAGGTATAAAAGTGAAAGAAAAATGAAAAAAAAAATAACTGAATGATGCAGATAATAATTTACCAGCACGTCCAATGGTTTGCATTTCATTGAAAACAGATGGCACACCCATTTATCTGTGAATATGTTCCCTTGGTATTTGATTGCATGTAATGAAGAGCAATGCATTATTCTTAGCAAGTATCACAAGAAGTAGTCTAAACCATTTCTAATTATATATTCTACTGATGACTGCAGCTTGAACATGCTCAACTCTAGTGAGACAGTGATCCGAGATCTGAGCTTTTACTTAGAAATTAGAAAACATTGTTTACTGTTTTTTTAGTGACTCTGAGATGCAATTAATTTTATCAGTTCCAACTGTAACACAAAGTGACCAAATTTGAAATAAATTGCACCACAACACAACAGAGTCTCTTTAAAAACTTTTGAGATTTACTGACACTTTTTATCCTTAATTAAATGATAAAATAGCATCAAATGACACCTTCTTCTTTTTAGCTTATTTATTTCAGGCAAGTTATGCTGAGTAACACAATCTGTCTATTATATATAATGAATGTGTGTGGCATATTTAGTCTTTCTGATTGACCAAAAATGCGCAGTAATAATGCACAAGGCTTTCCTGAGCTTTAGAGGGGAAACACGTGTCTTCATCGGTGTGGCTTTAACTGGATATCGAAAGCTCTAGGACGAGTTCGCTCAGACACGACATCAATAAAAAATACAAAACATATCTGGTACACCCAGAAAACTTTTGACAACTGTGTTTTTTAAAACTCAGTCACTTCAGCAAGATGTATGAAGTCTGAGTTGACGGCCTCGCAGGAGGCTCACTGCTGAGCTCCCCATGTGCATTTCTCTTTAACTTTAGCTAAACAACCAGTTCAAGTTTCTCTCAGTGCATTTGGCATCAGCTTCATTGAGTTTACATTTATTTATAGCCCTCTTTATTATGAGTCTATCATAATTTCCCTGTTTCCTGTGTTTCCTGTCATGATCCATGCCACGTCATAAGCTCACAGCCCCTCCTTTACCTGCTGATCAGTTCATTGCTCTTATCTGTGTTTCTGCTCCTCCTGTTCCTGTCAGGTTGTTCCCACCAGTGCTGCTATATAAACTCCTGTTCTGCACTGGTGCAGTGTGATCATTCTTGTCACAGCGTTTGACAGGGCTTGTTATTTTTCTTGATGGAGTTTCTGACCTGCCTCCACCTACAGTGTAAGTTACTCTGGTTCTGGTTCTGAACTTCGCTTCATGTCCCTGATTACTGCCTCATAGAGTGTGGATCTGTTCTATCTTCTACAAACAAGTGATCATTCACTTTACCATGGTGAAGTCAGGTTATTGTGAGTGTATGCTAGCTTGCCAGAGTTTCTGCTCCCTGTGGCCTCACTACTTTTTAGTTTTGGTGCATAGAGTTCCCTTCTCTATATAATCCTGTGGGTGAAGCAGTTCCAGGTATCTGATACTTTTTTCTCTCTCTTGGTGTTGAACTATCAAGTATTCCAGACAATTGAGGTCCAACTCTCCAAAGAGGAAAGCCTGGAAAAACACCTCTGTTGGATAAGCCATTACGTCCTCTTTGAACATTACTTCCAGGTTTCCTTGCCAGTCTCCCACCACCCTGGCTGTTTTGTAGAGTCTGACCTGAAAGCCACCACCAAGAATCCATCCCATTCCTGCTCACACATACATCTAATTACTGTCAAACACACACACAAATTGTTTTAACATAGATTCTAATGGCAAAAGGAGAGAAACCTTCTCCACTGACTCTTGGTTCTTCTTTCATCTGATAACTCCCAGTTTGTACATCCTTGACTTCTTTGCTTATCGTCAAGCCCTTTAGATAAAGTTTTAAACTGTTAAACACACTAATCAAGGACGTACAGAGGGAAGAGCAGAGGGAAGGTGAAAGGCAAGCACTTTGTTTTTCTATAACATTTCATTTTGTCCTCACACAAGCACAATAAGAGAGAAAACAAATCTCTGACTTTGCTGAGTTTCAGAAAAACAATCGCAACCCTCATTAAAAAGCTCAGATGCCCTGATTAAAGTGAGACAGTCTGGGAGACTGCTGCAGCCCTCCTAAGGAACTGTGCTGTTTGTATTATGATCAAAAACAGTCTATTGCTTTTGCAAAATCTTTCTACTTCCATAACGCTTGCATTTCCCAGCTCATTGGCTTTTTCTGAGTGCACAGATTTTTGGAGGAAACAAGAAAATGCATTTATCGGTTCCTGTACGGGAAAACGCTTCTGGTTCTTTCTAACATTCTCAAGAAGTTATCATTGTATGAGTAACTTTAAATATTTTCTTCATATCTTATTCTTTTTCTAAACAATGATATGATACAATAAAGTATATTCTCACTCAGAAGGAAGGACTCAGATGTGTTATGTAAACTTAGGCGTGAGTAAGAGCTTATTTACAGGTGAAACTGCATAATATGTAAATATGTTGCATAAAAAGGCATAACCTGGCAGCTTCCTGCGATGGAAGCTGCCAGGTTATGCCTGGCCACAATGTTTTGGCATTGTGGCCAGCCAGCTGGCAATCTTAGACCAACCTCCACCAGCTACTCTGTTACTAGAAGAAAATTAATTTATATTTGCCATTTAGAAACAGGATTTTTTACGCAGTCTGTCTCATTCATTCTTCTTCCATCTTCTCTCTCATTCTCCAGTTTTGTTTCACATCGGACTGTTTGAGTTTGAATCAACAGAACACGTTCTAGATGGCCTGGACTCCTTAATGCATTGCTGCATTTTAACTTTCTAATATAATTTTTAAACATATAGTTTATTTTAATTTATAAAATGTATTTATTACAGTGACAGCACTTATTAATAAAGTTTCTGACAATATGCTAGAGTAAGTCAGATTTTAAAAGCCACTCTGATGAAATATTAGTAAAATTACATTAGCAAATAACTACAGTACACTTATTAATAAACTAGTGAAGAGTGTGTGTGTTTGAGTGTGTGTGTTGGGGACAGGGGTGCATGATACACCATGACTTTTTTGATGAGGGAACAATGCAATATGATTTAAAGATCTAGAAAGTTAATTTTACTACATCATAATACCATTCCACATCCTTTCTTTAATTCCACATAGTCTTTATTTATTTTTTGTTAAATATGATTATTTTCTGCTTATGGCTAGTAAAAACACAACATTGAAAATTACTGAGTTAATTAGAAAAGCACCAATTTGACTGGAGATTTCTTAATTCAGTAACAAAGAACCAGTGAGAGCAACTTTTGGAGTCAACACACACTCCTCAACAAATGTGTATTTTGACACATTTAGAAACTAATCTAACTAACAGTATTCACATAATATACTTATATTATCCCAAGTTAATCTTTTTGAATAGAAGTAATTGTCAGTAAATTACTCCGTGAAAGGTTGGTGAAAATTGTAAAGTTTAACTTGATTTTTTAGAATGTTCTAGTTGCACATTAATGAAAATGACAGCTCTCATATTTGACAGCAAACATAAAGAAAAGTTTCCACATAGAAAAAATAGTTTTAGCCTTAATATATATAAAAAAAAAAAAAAATTGTACAATATATGAACTAATAGATGAGCTGCAGAAAACAGGGTTACACAATTTCAAGGTCACAGCATTTCAAAAATGTTTCCATCTCTGGTGGAGTTCCAGAGGAGATGTCTGCAGTCCACATTTCTCCACTGTGTTTACCCTGAGCTCAACACAAGGGGGCACCCTCTCCCCTCTGTCTCGATGCACACAGTCACCACCATGAGAGACGGACTGTCACCACTGACACAGAGGCACCCTGGGTAAAGAACCTTAACATCATAATCAAAAAACATTAGATGTGTTTCCAAATATATTTTTCTTTTTTTAAATACATTTTTGTATTTAAAATACAGAATTAAACTGTCTTTCTTGACAAAAGAAAGACAGAATTAAACT